ACCACGTCCTGGAGATCATCCTCCTTCAACCCTAATTCGTCCATCATTGCTTCCAAGTCTGTCATGCCGCTCCCCGATCCTGAAGAAGCGTCCTCCATATTCCCTTGCCCGAGGTGTTGGTCCGCGGGCGATAGAAACCCTACTGGCCCCTTCACACATAACTCCTATCACGCACCAAACAGAGGATTGGGAATAAAATGACTTATCCCATGTCTAATCTCGGCCCAACTCCCTGCTCTAAACTCCCATTCCCCTTCCCAAACATTGCCAAACACGCTGAGGAAAAGGGTTGGAGATGGTCTAAGATCACCGGTGCACGACTTGTGAGTTCGAGGACTGAGTCATCACCAACGACCGTAGACAAAATCGGATCGAGCCAACGGGTGAGGCGTGAGCATGAGTCAACGGTGAAGTACGTAGATTTACCGCTCCAATCGTATCAGACGGCAGGCGTTAATCTATCTCATCTCATCCGGTCCCGCCCAATCTCCCTCCCACCCCGAACTCCGATCGAGGCGATGCCCCCCACACCACACGTCCGCGACCGCGACGCCGCGACGCTACCGCCACCACCACCGCCACTACCCGGCCATGGCCACGCTGCTCCCCTCGTTTCCGCACGCCCTCTCCAAGCCCCGCCACCTCCACCACCACTCCCACGTCGCCGCCGCCTCCGCCAGGCCCGAGGCCCCCAGCCCCGCCTCCGCGGCCCCCGCCAGCTCCCGCCTCCGCCGCCTCATCGCGCGCGACGACCTCGCCGAGGCCGCGCGCCTCGTCGAGACCTCCTCCTCCCGCGGCGAGGCGCCCGACGTCTACCTCTGCACCAAGCTCATCCGCAACCTCTGCCGCCGAGGCCGCACCTCCGACGCCGCGCGCGTCCTCCGCACCGCCGAGGCCTCCGGCGCCCCGGTCGACGTCTTTGCCTACAACACCCTCGTCGCCGGCTACTGCCGCTACGGCCGCCTCGACGCCGCGCGCCGCCTCATCGCCGAAATGCCCGTCCCGCCCGACGCCTACACCTACACGCCCATCATCCGGGGCCTCTGCGACCGCGGCAGGGTCGGCGACGCGCTCGCCCTGCTCGACGATATGCTCCAGCGCGGCTGCCAGCCCAGCGTCGTCACCTACACCGTCCTCCTCGAGGCTGTGTGCAAGAGCAGCGGCTTCGGAGAGGCCATGAACGTCCTCGGCGAGATGCGTGCCAAGGGCTGCACGCCTAACATTGTCACCTACAACGTCATCATCAACGGCATGTGCAGGGAGGGCCGCGTCGACGATGCCAGGGAGATCTTGAACCGGCTGTCGTCTTATGGCTTCGAGCCCGACATCGTCAGCTACACCACTGTGCTCAAGGGCCTGTGTGCTGCTAGGCGGTGGGACGACGTCAAGGTGCTCTTTGCTGAGATGGTGGAGAAGAATTGCGTGCCGAATGAGGTTACCTTTGACATGCTAGTCAGATTCTTCTGTCGTGGGGGTATGGTGGAGAGGGCAATCGAAGTTCTTCAGCAAATGTCACAGCATGGATGCACACCCAACACTACCTTGTGCAACATTGTCATAAACGCTATGTGTAAACAAGGTCGTGTGGATGATGCCTATGACTTCTTGAACAACATGGGCATGTATGGGTGCAATCCTGATACCATTAGCTATACTACTGTGCTAAGGGGCTTGTGTCGCTCCGGACGATGGGAGCATGCCAAGGAGCTATTGCCGGAGATGGTCCTAAAGAACTGTCCCCCAAATGAGGTTACATTCAATACATTCATATGTATCTTGTGCCAGAAAGGATTGATTGAGCAAGCTATCAAGCTTATTGAACTGATGCCAGAGTATGGATGTTCAGTGGGTATTGTCACATACAACGCTCTTGTCCATGGCTTCTGTGTGCAAGGGCGTGTTGATAGTGCTCTTGAGTTGTTTAACAATCTTCCATGTGAGCCCAACACCATTACATACACTACGTTGTTGACAGGCTTGTGCCATACCGAGCAGCTGGATGCTGCTGCAGAGCTCTTGGCTGAGATGATTCAGAAGGATTGCCCTCTAAATGCGGTGACTTTCAACGTACTTGTGAGTTTCTTCTGTCAAAAAGGGTTTGTCGAGGAAGCAATCGAACTTGTGTATCAAATGATGGAGCATGGTTGCACCCCTAACCTGATCACATTTAATACTTTACTCGATGGGATCACCAAGGATTGCAACTCAGAAGAAGCGCTGGAGCTATTGCATGGTTTGGTCAGTAAGGGGGTATCCCTAGATACGATAACCTACTCTTCAGTCGTTGATGTCCTCTCAAGAGAAGATAGAACTGAAGAAGCCATTCAGATGTTTCATGCCGTGCAAGATATGGGGATGAGACCAAAAGCTGGGATGTATAACAAGATACTGTTCGCCCTCTGTAAAAGATGTGAAACAGATCAGGCTATTGAATTTTTTGCTTATATGGTGTCTAACGGTTGCATGCCTAACGAGTCGACCTACATTATACTCATTGAAGGCCTTGCCCATGAGGGTATGTTGAAGGAGGCACGATATGTACTGAGTGAGTTGTATGCGAAAGGAGTTCTAAGCAAGAGTTTACTTGAAGACCAGCACTAAGGTTGTGGTTCACACTCTGCATATGCCTTATTACTGAAGAGTGAGAAAGAAAATTGTGCATATGCCTTGAGTCATGAGGCTTTGGTGCTTATTAAATTCTGCTGAGTCTCCATGGGCCTCACTTTCAGCAAGCTGGAATCGGGTGGCATGTTTTATGTGTGTGCTTCAAGCTACAATGATCCATAAAGATGGGATAGGTGAGCAGTACAAACACAGAAATCATGAGGATGAACTTTCTTCCAGGTGTCTTAGTTTTGACTTTTAACTGCGGGATTGCAGAACAGAGATATATTATGTTCTTGAAACTTTCTCTCTCCTAGTTCACTAGATGTGTTACCTTATTTCCCTCGTTATATATTTGAGCTGCCTTTCAAAAATAAGAACCCAGCATATTTTGTGCTTAATTAGTTGTACACCTTCAAATTACCCTGTTAGCATGTAGATTTATTTTAGATATCAAAACTTTTTACACTATCATATGCTTTGTTACTCTAAATATTTTATATTCGAGTAGTCTTCGGTTGTAGAAATCTCACTAACAGAAGTTATCTTGTTCAGGTTTTTTAAGTGTGAAGACCAAGGAAATCAAAAGGACGGTCTGCAGGATAACACAAGCAAATAAGATAAAAGCATGTTCATACTTATAACGGCCTAATAAAAGATACAGGCCAATAAAGTTTCTTAGAAACACTTCTCAGTTTCAGCAGTTTGAGACTAAATTGTTGAATTATTTGACTATACTTCTCCGTGTGTATAAACATTTTGGTTTGTCTTCCATGAGCAATGGTATGTGCACAATTGCTTTCCTTTCAGGGCCTTGTTAACTATGCTTTTCTTGTACATTCTGAATATCTATTTTTATCTAGTAGTTTGAATTATGGACTAAGTGGTCCTCGATGAATCATGTTTCTGCCTAGGTTTCCCTGACTGAATATTCACATGTCAAAAGAGTACTGCAAGTGAGGAAAATATAATGTCAGCTGGATCTATTTTTAATCTATGAACAGGCTATCTACGCGTACCAATTTCATCATCAAGAATTTGCATATTGGTAAGCACATTGGCTCTTTTCACTGGATGTATGTTTATAGCATCTCATTTGATCCTTTGAGATTAGAAATTCAGAATCTATCACGTGCTTTATCCTCAGGTTTGGTGTCAGGTTCTCATGTTGTTTTCTACATCTGCAGGTGAAACCACAGGGCATGATGTGAGATACCATTCACAGGTTGGCTGTTGTTAGAACACCTATACCCATCGTTGTCTGCAGCAAAGGGCACAGGTTCAGAGTGAACCTCATGTTCTTTTTTTGGCTTCAAAGTTGGAACCGCAGTTCGATGGCTCATAAGTCATATATGATGGTTCATCACTTACCAGTTATACCTATACTGCTTTAGTGTCCACGGTGACATGGGCGCATTGCAGGACTAACCAAAACTACCGTATATATCCTTCAAGATTTGGTTCAGTTTGTTGCATGTTGATTGGTTCTAATTCATCTGTTCAAAGCATCATATGTAAGTTCACTGGGCTCTGTTTTAAAATTAGTTCCACAAAACCATTTAAATGAAGGAAAAACAGGACGCAAGCAAGCTGGTAATAGGAAATCAAGATAGACTTACATCACATTACATTTTGCTGAGCTTCTACCTCGTGTTTATAGGATTATTATGTAGCTTGTCTGCAACGGTTCAGAGCTGGGCAATGACAAAATGTATTTCTAGTCAGTAGCCTGCACATAAACAAGCAACTCTTCCATGTGATCATCAGGCATCTTTGGATTCAAGACATTTACAGAGTTCCGTAGTACTTCTATTAAGAAGATATTTTCTCTATGGAGGGTCCTTGTACCAAATGAATGATACCACCAAAATTCCTATGGACTGTTCTTTTTACAGACCTAATCCTTTATTAGGAATCATAGCGAGAGGTTACATTTCATGCTTTGTGTTTTCTCTCTTCGGATCCATGTATAGCATCCGAAAGGCCATGTAGGTAAATATTGTAGGATTTAGGGAGCCATGACAACCATTTTTCTATAATCGGGAGCCATCTCCTGCAGTTTTATTATCTTGCTTAGATCAAACTTGTTGTCTTACGGCCATGACAAATTACGGTTTATATAAGGTTAAAAACTTTATGAGTTATGACTGTTGTTTCTTGGTTTATGTGTTGCCACCTTACTGGAGACTGCAGAGGAGCGGAGAAATTGGGTTGGTTGGTGCTTATGATGACTGTCAGTAAGTAAACCCACTGCACCATACGCCACAACAACTTTGCCATACACAAACAGCCTTGCCAGCAAAAGGATCTTACAGGGGCAACGTCCACTGCTCCACAAAATCAGTGCAACGATCTATCTCCTACGCAGGACAAACTGTACAGGCCCAAATAGAGATTCAAGCTTCTACTGTTTTTTTCACATCATTCATGTACCGGAACGACAAGGCGGCGCCGAAGTTCCTCCGCTCCTCTGTGAAGTCATCGTCCGAGTCATCGCTGGAGCTGGAATCTGTGCAGGCTGTTGCCATACCAGGGGAGTCATTGATGCCTTTAGCTATACAGTCTTTGGTCGCGAGCATCTTGACCTGCCCAGCGTGGGATATCTCCACGACCACCTTGCCGTCATCCTCCTGTGGAAGAGGCTGCTTCCAGGGCTCACCGTCGATTCTCATGTAGGCATGGTCAGTTGCACCCCGGTGAAATTTGAATCGGACACGATGGGCCTGGGAAGGAATAGGATTTCAGTATCCATCAAGTAGTTTAATTTAAACTGAACACATAAACATTCGACTGATGACAAGTCCATAGCTTTACATTTTAGGACTGAGGTATATAACACACAACCTACGTTTTATTATTTACCTGAGCAAGACGAGTGCCATGGCCTTTCGGAGATAACAAAACAAGGCCATGCCAAGCATCTTTGAAACCCACAATCTCCAGAAGGCCATCATCCACAAGTGGAGGCAGTACCAAGTCTCTCTGCAATAGTATAATTTAAGATTTTAGGTATTATTAAGAGAAAGATGTTTAAAGTGCAATAGCAGCACAAATTGTTGCTATACTAGGAATGATGTTAGCATCATGTGTTATACTTACTTTTCTTTGCTTCCTCTTACTTGGTGTTCCCCAGGGATTCAGTCCACCAGAGAAGCTGGGTAAATTGAGACAGACAATGGACCTGATACTGCATTTGCATAAAAACCTGTTCAGAACATCACGTAGTAGTCCCATATTTTGAAGAAGAATTCTGACATCATATCGTTAAGAGCAATCAACTCATCCGTTTCCAAATATTTGGCGCTGCTTTTGACTTTTGCATGATCTTTCAAGTTAAACGTTGGCACCTGTTTTGTATTAATGCATTTATGGAATGTCATGGAAGTGAATGGTAAAACAACATTTGTTTATAAATGTATTTTAACATAATCAAAGTAAATACTTGGAAAAATACGATTCGTCAAAGTTTTCTAGGTTTGACTGTTCAAAACCAGGCGAGTATTCAGAAACGTAGTACTCCTTCCGTCCCAAAATAAGTGTCTCGAGCTTAGTATAACTTTGTACTAGAGCTAGTACAAAGGTAAGACAATTATTTTGGGACGGAGGGAGTAATAAATTAGGGAAGATTCTACAAGAGATGTAAGTAGGATCCAAGTATGATGTGTCGACTATTAGTGAAATCCTCCAGCCTATTAAACTTGATAGCATTTGTATGCGTACGCAATGCATGTTTCTAGCAATATATATTGATAAAAAATATACTTAAGAACATATAAAATGTAAATGTTTCTGTTCTTTTCTCGTGAAATACTTCAAAGAACAAATATATGGATTGAGCTAAATCAAAACCCAGAAAACCTGTAATCAAGAAGCAATTAATGAGGTTGATTAGGAATTAACTATACCCTAGGTGTGTGGTTAAGTAAAATGGAACGTCCAAGTACAGTGTGAGCTGTTGATGAGAGATTTGATGGTTTAGATCAAGAGTATCCACAACTTTTGCAAGAAGCACCGACAAGTGGCCTCGTTTATGCTGCACCTTGTTTTTTACAGAAACAGTTGTGCTATAACTGAAACTTCAAAGTCCCATCCATGATCAAAGATGAGAACATACTCTCCTAAACACTGACATGGGCACACAATTTCAATACCGAAAAAGGGGAGCACAATAGAATTACCTCTGTGGAATTTCCAAGGTTTCCCATTTTCCAGATTTCTTCATTATCTTTACCTTTGCAAGGTGAGCAATATTCCTGTTATCCAGTGGAAGGCATCCAAGAATGATGTGAGCCGAATGCAATGTCATTAAGAAACCTTGACTATTAGCCAAATGGAATACTAATAAGAAACCTTGACTATTTGTTCAAATGTAAAAGTATTGAGTTTGTGACGAACATTTTTAAAAAAATCCCATACCCTAGTTAGTGCCAAACAAGTAATTACCGTGACATTGGATGGCTTAAAGAGGCACAGAACCATCCTTGTGTGCATGCCAGCTTCAAATACTGTTTCTGCACAACAGATCCAAAAGAGGTTGGTTTCAAGAGAGAAACTAAAAGCAGGCAGTGAATGCAAAAATAAAGTGAAAGAAATTGCACAGATGCTTAGTTGACCTGATTAGACAACTGATTCTTGAATTTCTCTGGGTGCAATTTCCTCTGAGAATGAAATGCATAAGACACTTGTGCATCCATTCCTGTGACAGTATGAAAGTTTCTTTCAGCTTTTGGCCATCTTCTAAAAAAAGAACGATCCTCCTCATCGATTTCCTTTAAAGAAACCGGTACAGAACAAGATTCTTACAGGAATTAAGCAAATAAAAAAGGCAAAAGCAGTTCAACTTGATGCTAATTATTACGCAAAAAGCAGCCAAAAGTATGATCCCTCAAGGGTCTACAGCAAACAGCAAGTAAACATAAGCCTTTGGCTATTTAGCTAAACAACCTTTTGTTCTTCTCTTTCTGCTCAATTTTGTAAAAGAACAAGAATCGATTAAAAAATCAATCACCAACATATAAAATACACTTAGAAAAAGAAAACTCACCCATACTGAAATAATTCCAAAACCCTCCACGATATGTGTAAGAATATTCCTGGAACAAATAAAAAACAAGGTTTTTTAATATTCCTGGAACAAAACTCAGCATGATTTATAAGGTTCATTTTATCTTCTTCAATAGTTGACATTCCCAATTCAATTTACAGATGGGGAAACATATGGAGCAAGTACACTGAGGTTTTTTAACATCCACGAAAGAAACATTATAACTAAGTCACATTTATGGATTTAAAATGTATAGATTATTTTGAAAACCTAGCGACTATTATAGAAAAGTATCAGACCACAAGCAAGAAGTTATAGTTTCAGCAGGAACGCTCTGGTCATCTTTGTTAGATACTCCCTCAGTTCACTTTTATAAGTCATTTCAGACAACTAAAAATAGGCTGCTTTGCATGCTGTCTGAAATGTCTTCAAGGACTTATAAAAGTGAACAGAGGGAGTAACAACTATTTCAGATATTTGTCTAAACTATCACACTCACACAACAAATATGTATAATGAAGGTTATGATGGTGTTCTTTTCTGAAAATTCATAACAGCCTACCAGAAAACAAACTCATTTGAAAAGAAGAACACAACAACTAAGTTAACACAAAATTATGAATAGGTGAGTTATACATAAAACTAATCCACATATTCAGTAGTTACCATATCTTCTGGATCTGTCTTTGGCACACGGTGAAATGCATGCAGAGAATGCGGCAAATCAGAAGGAGCAATTGGATCGCAAGGAGAACGTTTTGGGCATTTCATTCTCATAACAGTATGCCAGCTGAAACAGTGTAGTTATAACAATGTTAGATAACATCCAGATGAAGATCACATACAGAAGTATCGTGAAAACTGTAGAAAAGAAACCGACCTATCAATGTTTATCTCTCTTGCTTCTTTTACCAACTTTAGGAAGGATATGACAGATTCACGATCTGTGCCAGGATTTCTCTTGCCCTGCAAACCAATTTCGCGCTACTATTGAGTTGACAGCACATCATATAAAATATTGTACAGTATAGCAACTAACACATATAGATGACATCACAAAAGGCAAGTTAACGAGGAGTGCCTTAATGCCCACCAGAAGAAAGATTGTCTATCTAAGTTCAAAATGGAAAATGCCACGGATCTATGGCACTAACATCAACTACTTAAGTTGAAGATGACAACACTTTTTTAACCAAAGATGGTAAATTTCGTTTACGCACTGCAAAAAGGATAAATATTTAAATCAAACGTTTTAGGTCATACTGTCGAGTAAAAGCAGGTCTAACAGATAAGGCTCATGCAAGTATAACACGCTGCGGTAGTATAAGAAGATCCATCAGGAACAAGATTGTTTCAGTTAACTACTTCCGAAGTACATACCCATCCAAAAGAATATGGCAGGTTATTTCCAGTTCCAAGGGGAACTGTAGCGACGGGAGGTGGATGAACTAGCTTGAGATCAGATACAACTCCAAGCAACCAACCGGCTGTTCCATCGCCTCCAGCAACCTAATTAAATTTCCATGATAATAATATGTAAGTTCAGCCTGTTCAAACAACGAACACGAAATATGATGGTCAAAACATTAGCAGGATATTTGGAGAGCAATGCCTATCTGCACTCACTATTAGCCTCAATCTCCTAAGGATTTCAGAAGCAAGAGTATCCCCATCACGCTTGAGCCTTTCCACGTTGCTGTATAGTTTGTGTAAGACTTTGTCTGGAGTTTCATCAAGTAGATCAAACACCTGCAATTCAGAAATTTAGAAATTGCCCCAAATCAATATATTTATCTCTGGCGGTAAAAATGCATGGGTACTGTAATAATGAACAAGTACATCTTGTAAACTTGAAAATATGTACCTGAGCATGATTGAGAAGCTTGCGATATGTGACAAGTAAATTATGTCCAAGTTGCCCGCCACTTCGGGTGTTGATAAAAACAATAACTGGACAGCTGGGTATGTGAGAAACTTGCTCCACCGAGGACTCTGGCATGAAGATATAGGTCGGAATGTAGAATTCTTTCAGCATGTTATTTTTCTCGAAACTGTTCTCCATTTGAGCTTGCTACCTGCAATGTTAATGCATCATCATTACAACAGTATTAGGACCACGCATCATTTGCATGGCAATTAATGTAATAACTAGCCCCTTGCCCCACTTGTGGTTCTGCGGGTCAAATTTTATAAGTAACTTTCAGATTTAAATTGGGCACATATTTTGCTGAAACAGACGCTGCACTGCGTTAATTTGCTCGGCACAACTAAAAATCAACTTTAAAAATCATGGGTGCAGTTCTGTCTTGGTAAGGTCTTGCACGCACCCTTTGTATTCAAATAAATAAATGGTTTGAAGGTGATAATATCATGTAACTACTGTATGATGACTGAGATTCGGCAAAACTTGTGTAGTTTCAGCTGCTTGGACGTCGCTTATATCAGGTAAGACCTTCAGTTTCTGTGTGACAAGGACATAGCCCTTCCAGTGAAGGAGATAGATGAGGGGTCCCTGTCATCCTTGGAACGAATCATTGCAGTGTTAATTACGTATCAATTAATGTCACCGTACAATTGACGATCTGGAATAATCGAAGCAAACGAGCCACCAATGGTCCCAAATCATCATTCGTATAATGCCCGAATGGAAAACTGTAAAGCTGACGCAAGTTTCACGCAGCGACTTGAAGTTACAAAACAGAGTGGTGCTAACTATTAGTAGTGGTAAATTTGGACAGTAAAAACAAATCAAAGATTTCAATATGTTGAAAAAATGTGAAGATCCAGAGTTATAGCACAAGCATAACCCATGATTCAATCCCTATCGTCTCAGCAAACAAAGAAACCTATAGACTGAAGGGATGCATAATTTGCCTGAACTGTCTCAAAACTGGGATTTGTGTGTGTTATCCGTGTCATGCAAATGTAATTGGGGGGACGGTGAGCCTCATAATTCGAAAGGGGAAAAGGAACAAAACTGGAAGCACGGATGACACGTTCGAGCTGCAAATCAAATTCACTGACGTATCGTGGATAGAAGAAACAAGAAACACTGGTTATTAGCAAAGGGAAAAAAATAGTGTGCTATGACAAAATAACGCAACCCTTAAAAATAGTGTGCTATGACAAAAATAGTGTGCTATAGCGATTGTACACTAATTTCATTTACTAGCAAGATATTGCTCATGCTAATTAAATCAGTGGATACTGGCAAGATACAACATGAAGAAGAAGAAATTGACCCGAATCACAAACAGGATACGGGAAAAAGATACGGTAATCGCGGAGCACCGAGCCAATAACCAAGCAACAAAAAAATGCATGCAGATGAAGGAACGGCACTGCATTCCGATTTTGGTAATAACAAGGCATTAAAAGACCCTTTCCAAAAAAAGACAGGCGCGTTTACCCGGCCGAATCCTAGGAACCCCGAAATTCCCGCTTGGTACCATATCAGGAAAGCAAACCAAGCAAGCAATTCTACATGGACACAACGACGCAAGATCAATTAATAACCGGAGGAGCCTCTATCACTCTGTCTCTCACCTGCGCGAAGAAGGCGAATCGCTTGAAGGAGCCGCAGTGGACGGCACCGAAAGAAAGAAGGGGCTGGGCGTGGCAGTGTGGAACGTCGGAGGCCACCAGGAGCGTCGGCGGCCGGAGGAGGAATATGATTCCTCCCCTCCCCTGCCTTGCCCTCGCCTCCCCTGCCCTCCCAGCAGCGAGGAGGAGGAGGAGCGGTGCGGCGAGCTCCCGAGGAGGGAGGGAGGGAGGGAGGAAGGAAGGGGGGGAATTGATTTGGTTGAAATTGGGATTCCGCGGGGGGGCTGGGCGCGTGTTATAAAGCGGCATGCGATGGGCCCACGTGCGGCCCCGACGCGTGGCTTCTATTTGCGGGACCCCCACCGCGGGCGGGGCCAGCCAAAGGGGATGCTACGATGGGGCCAAATCAAAGGCTAGTCGGTAGCTCCCGGCCTCAGGCTCACTCCCACGGTGACACAACACGCTCGGTCGCCTCTACGCGTGTTGCAGTTCCATGCGTGCCTGGCCCAATGGGAGTTGGTTTGGTACTTTCGTCGGGGGTGGGGGTGGGTGATTCGTGGAATCTCTCTTTCTCTTTCTCTGCCTGCCCATCTCATCTTATCTGGTGGTCGGATTAGTTTGTTTGTTTGAGCCACCAGGTCCGATGGTGGTGCCCATGGCGTACGTCTTCCCGGGGAAGCCGTGGCCGGAGCTGGAAGGGATCCCGTTCCGTGTGCGGGAGGAAAGGGAATCCCGTCCCGCCGCGGGCAGCGGTCTCGCCCGGCCGCTCCGATTCTTCAGGTGAGGGACTGCGGTCCGGCACGGGCACGCGCGGCCGTGTGCACGCTCCCTGGGTCCTCGTGCTTTTCCTCTGCGAGCGGCCGCCGGCGGCGGCGTGGTGGGTGCGTCGTTGATCGGGCCGGCCAGGTCAGAACAACGGGGCAGTGTCGCCTCTCCCAGGGCATCAGAATCTTGGCATGGCAGCCTAGCAGGTCTTTGCCGGCCCGGCAGCTCCACGTGATCAGGGTCCTATATTCGCTGCTCATACGCCGCTGGTAGTTCCATTCCACCACGTGACCAGGGTGTGGTGAGGGTCCTATATTCAGCCGCTGGCTGCTGCGTGGGGGTCTGTGGTCGACGTTCAACATTCTTGCTCGTCGGGGTGTATGGTGTGTGGTAGGTATTCTTCAACGTCCCAACATTCCAAGTGTGCGCTCTCGGTTTCCCTCCAAAAAGCTAGCCCGTGCACACCGCACCAAACTTGCATGCTCAAACCCCGGTCCAGATTCGAGAAGCGTCCGTCCGTGTCCTGCTAGGACGATATGACGAGCAACAAACTTGTAAGGTGAGCGTCAGGAAACTGTCCTGTCGATTTTATTGTTTTTTTTTTGAACGGTCACCGGGGGGGAGAGGATCCCCACCTGAATATATTGCTCAAAAAGCTGCCAAAGCCAAGAGTCACCCCTTAAGCTTTTGGCTGATCCAGTTTATAAGGAAAATCGGATCGAAAACCTAAACAACTTGACCCCGTTTATAAGGGAAACCGGGCCGAAAACCGTACAGTTAACAAGGTTACAGAAGATGAGAAGAAATTGCCACCTAGGAGAAGGCATGACCTAGCTAGCAAGCAGAAAGAACAACACCACGAGAGACAAGTAGATGTAGGGTGCTGTCGAGGGATCACAATACCAAAACTCTGCAAACAACCTAACGCACCGCACCGGCGTGCGTACCGAGCCCCACGGCACAACAGAGGATCAACCATAATCAACGAGTGCCAAACTAACACGAACCTTGACTGGGAGATCCGCCACGGGCAGTCGAAACGATTAGCAGGTCGGGGAGGCATCATTGCATCGTCATTTAGCAAAGGTGAACCAAGAGAACACCAAGAGCCCGAAGCTCGCAACAGCACATCGGCAACCATGGGAGGGTCTTGAGCATGCACAACAACAGGACGGAGACCACGCGAAGGACAGCCGAAGAGAAACACATGAAGAAGAACCACCACCGTCGGCCCCAAGCTGGCCACACCACCACCACCAAACACCCCACCCTCAACCACGCGCAGCAGCAGGAGCCGTCGTTTGGGCCTCCAAGATGATGCCTCCAAGGAGGTAGTGTTGTCAAAGACACAACACCATCATCCGATCCGGCAAGCCCGATCCTAGGTTTTCACCCGGAGACCACAAAGCAAAGAACCGTAGGTGCTGGAGCTCCACAGCGGCACCTCCTGCGAGGGGAACGACGTCCATAGACGTCGCTGCCGCTGACATCGACATAGTCGATGCAAGGTTCTCACCCGGAGTTTGAGCACATCCCTACAGCAAGACGGCCTGAACCACGCCGAAGTCGATGCAAGATACTGAAGAGGCGCAATGAACTGCTGTCGCCAACCACACCTCGCGGAGACGAACGACAGCCAAACTTCAGCACCACCACCATGCAACCACCACTGGTCCCTCCGACCGGAGACGAGCAGGGCGTACAACGCACCTCGACGACGTCTTTAAGAAGAGCATGGCACCCGAGGGCGTCACCGTCGCCGGCCCCGGCCAACAGCCTGAGGCGGAGCTTTCGCTTGGCGCTGCCACACATCCCACCAGAGTCCGAGCCCGGTCGGACCACCAAGCAGCCTCACGCCACACGAACCCCTCGCCGCCTGCACCCGCAGACAAGCCAGAAGCCAACCCCAGATCCGCCCGAGCCCTGCCAGATCCGGCAGCCGCCCGAGCCGACCAGCAATCTTCCACCTCCGGGCAGCCATAGGAGGCGACTGCACACCACCCAAGCACCACGCAGGCGAGCGCCCACGAGCAGGGGGGAGGAGGGCCGCCACCCCTCCTCAAACAGGCGGCCGGATCGGGCGCGAGATTCGCGCAGAGGGCCGCCGTCCCGCTGCACGCGGGGAGCCGCCGCGGCTGCACCAAGGGAAGACCCCGGAGACGCCACCCACCGGAGAAGGACGGGGCCCCCGGGCCGCCGAGCAAGAGGAAGGTGCGCCCGCCCACCACCAGAGAAAAGCGCCGATGCGCAGGGAACGCCCCGCCGCCGCCGTCCGCGGCGCGGGATTAGCCCGGCCGCATCTTCCGGCGGCGGCGAGGGGGGAGGAGAGGTGAGGGGCGGCGCCGGGCGGCCGGCGGCTTGGGTTCCCCCGAGCCGCCTGGAGGCGACGCGGGGGTCGGAGGAAAAGCTGGGTCGTGGATAGATAGGTTCGAGAGCATTCTTTGGTCGATTTTATTGTGAAAAATGAAATCGCATGGGAGAAAGGAGCAGCGGAGCACCGCATCGGCTTGGAAAAGAAACCTCAGTGAACATGCAACGACGACGTGACGACGCTTCGGTCTAGGAAGAAAGGACCCGAGCGCCGACGAGCGACCGACCGACCGACGTCTAATCGCGGGGGCAGGCTTTAGGGGCGCTTTCGACGTCGGACTGTTGCATCGGCGCATCACACCACGCCACCGGACAGAGATCACGCTGCGACTTGCGGCTATGCATCAGCCACTCAAACACCATCCAACGGATAGCGGCCATCCA